GTGTGTGTGTGTGTGTGTGTGTGTGTGTGTGTGTGTACACAACTCTGTAACCCCTTGCATCGGGGTGGAGCCAGGGCAACTGAATGTAGCTGAGCATTTACTGGCCGGATGCCCTTACTGATGCACATGTGGCGCTCAGAGCAGATATTTTCTCTCTGCACTCTGAGGAAGAAACATCTGCCACTGCCTAGGATTGAACTCACAGTCACCACTAGGCCACCATGCTGCTTGGATAGGCAGATATTATTTAATAATACTAAAATTATCATCACAGGATGTAACTGGTTCCAAATAAAACTACCTTTTGCAATTGACTGATGGTGATTTTGTCAATGCTGATTGTGTTCAGAGGGTGCTCCAGTTGTTTTGGAATTGCACCCAAAGCACCTATTATTATAGGTGCTATCTTTACTTTCTTTTGCCATAATTGTTCTACTTCTATTTGCAGGCCTTTATATTTTGTGATTTTGTCCAGTTCTATTTTTTTTTCCTGCTGTCTCTAGGTATTGCAATGTCCACTATCCATACTCTTTCTGATTAAAAAAGTCTGGAGTGTTATATGACAGACACTTGTCTGTGGCTATTTTGGGGTGTCATCAGTTGTTGCTACTTTGTGATGCTACTATTTGTAATCTGTCTATGCGATTTTCTTCCAGCAGTTAACCAGGTGGTCCACCGTTTCTGTTTTCTCAATTCTAGCTTTATACTCATTTATTCTTAAGGCTTGGTCTCACGCATCCAGAATTAGCCTCTCTGTCTCTTTCTTAAACTTTCCCGCTCTTAGCCATTGCCAGGTCTTGTTATCTGCCTTTGTCTGCTAGTTTTTTTAATGTACTAGTCATGTAATAATTTTTGTTGCCATGACACTTTCCTATTCTGTAAGAGCAGTGGTGGCAAAGTGGTTAGAATGTAGTACTGCAGGCTAACTCTGCTCACATTGCCAGGTGTTCAATTCCTTTGATCCTGACCAGCTCAAGGTTGACTGAGCCTTCCATCCTTCTGAGGTCAATAAAATTAGGGGCCAGATTGTTGGGGACAATAGGCTGACTCTGTAAACCGCTTAGAGATGGCTGTAAAGCACTATGAAGCGGTATATAAGTAAATGCTATTTCTAATCGCTGTTTGGCAATTTCTTGTAGGCGTTTGGTCTTCCCACTACTCAGTAACCCCTTCTGGTATACTGGCTTCAGGATGTTTTCTTTAGTATCTTCTTCAGATATTCTTTTTCTAACCCTTTTTCTTCTTCAACTGATGGATGTATTTGCAACACTCCATATCTGCCTATGCTTCTTGGTAAATAGTCTCTGTCAACATCTCTGCATGGATGAAAGGCATGATTCATTGTCATTATTTTTCTGGTCTTGTTATCCAGAGCTTTTAGTTCTGCTTGAGTCCAGTCCACTTTCCAGCTGTTATCTAATGACTGGAATTGAATAACATTTCCGCCACTGACTTTGGATTTTAAGATCTTCACTCTTCTGTTGTATTAACTACTAATGTTCTTCTTGACTTTGTTGCCAACCTGAAAGAGACTCAGGTATTTGTAATTATCTTCTTCATTCAGACTCTTGATGTTATTTCCACAGAACATTTTGATTCCTTCAGTTTTCAGTATTATACCTCCGTTTATAGCAAGGGTGCCATGTTTGTCCAGTCCAAATATCTTACTTTATATTTGGACAGTGTTGAGCAGTGATGCCATTTTAGATGGAATTTATTTTATGTTATTATCTATGTTATTATTTATCTTTATATATTATTATACTAAGTTTTTTTCTGGTATGTATGCATACATGTATGAACGTATGTATGCAAAAAAATCTACTACTGGATATGCTTTATCTATTTTATAGTCCTAGCAATTGTGGTATTTCTTGCAGGTATAAACTATTTCCTTTTAGTAGGAATGTATTTCTCCATATGCAAACACAAATGTAAAATACATAAGTTTTACCAACCCACCACTAGCTTTTAGTCTCCCAATAAAAAGTTTAGAGGCTTACCTTTCATATACAGTTCTATCTGTCTGATAAGTTCGTAAGACTTTGATCGGTCCAGTAATGTCCTGATAGCAGGAAGAGGATCCAGAATTATAGTTTCAGGATGAGCATCAATATATTCCTAGGGAAATGAAGAAATGGCATGTGATATTCTTCAGAGAAGAATTACTGTTGGAAACTTTGTATATGATAGAAAGATACTTCCAGTACAGCATATCTTCAATTAACAATAATTGGATTTCAAGTAGCAATCATTTAAGTAATAGATGGTATGATTCTCAGCCATATCCCAAAATTAAAGTAACACAGAATATGGTGAATATATAGTATCTGATAACATGTTGGATGACAACTCCTGAAATTCCCACTAAAAATGGTATGCAATTGCAGTTCCAAACAATTGGAAGATAGCAGGCTAGGACAGTTGATTTATAATTCCTCTCATTCCTCCTATGTTTGTATACAAAATTTTATTTACAATAAATATGCTAAAAAGTCTTATTTTAACATTGATGATACTTTCACTGCAACGAACACTAGCCTAGTAATAGCAGAAATTAAAACAATTTGTTATAGCTACTGTAAATTTAACATAGTTTAAATTTTTTTTCTATAGTTACTAATCATGATGGATAACCATAACACTTCCCAAGCTAGACAGTCAAATACTGAATATCAGGTATTGGAGCCGTAAGTGATGGATTTACATTGTGATTGTGAGTTCCCCATAAGTACATGACTGTGAGAACAGAATACTGGACAATCTAAATCTTCTTAAATTGCCAATTCATACAACTATGAAATCTTGATAGCAATGGAACCATTAACAGCTGATGAAGTTAGACTCATGCTTGAAAATACACACACACACACACACACACATACACACACACACACACACACACACATATATATATATATATATATATATATATATATATAGTGTCACAACCCCTGGTAAGCCCCAATTATGGGAGGAAGTTAACAGCTTCCATTATCTGTCAATCGGCTCCCCCCCCCAAAACCCCCCCACAAAAAAACAAAAAAAAAAAAAAAAAAAAAAAAAAAAAAAANTGTCCTCTGAATCGGACCAATAGCAGTTAGACTTATATACCGCTTCATAGGGCTTTCAGCCCTCTCTAAGAGGATTACAGAGGCAGCCTTCCATCCTTCCGAGGGGGGTAAAATGAGGACCCGGATTGTTGGGGATGGAAGGCTGAGTCAACCTTGAGCCGGTGAGATTTGAACCGCTGAACTGCAGATAACAGTCAGCTGAAGTGGCCTGGAGTACTGCACCCTAACCACTGCGCCACCTCGGCTCAAGAGCCAAGTAGGTGCAGTGATTGGAACCGGAAGCCCTTGAGTTCTAGTCCCACCTTGGGCACAAAGCCAATATGGGTGACCTCGAGCCACTCCCTCTCCCTCAGCCCTGGGAAGGAGACCAAGACAAACCACATCTGAAAAACCTTGCCAAGAAAACTGGAGAGACCTCTCCAGGCAGACTCCAAGAATAGGACTAGGAAATAATTGAGCAAAAGAAGAGAAAAGGTTCAAACAGCGAACTAAGCCATAATATTTTTTTTTTAACTGTAGTCCCAAGTTTACTATTTACACATATAATTTAAAAATTAAAAGTTGACATACCTTTGAGTAATCATCTGATAAAATATCAAATGTGACCACTGGGGAGAGGAAAAGATTACAAATAGCAGTCAATCATATGTAGCAACTATTCCACTTCATGCATTACCCCACTTTCTCAAAACTTACCGTATTTTTGGAGTATAAGATGCATCGGAGTATAAGACATACTAAGATTTTGAAAAGGCAAATTTAAAAAAGGTTTTTGCACTCTGCAGACCTCCCCAAAATAGCCCGGGTTTTTTTTTCAAAAAAAAAAGGACATGAATAGCCTTTAGGAGGCTTGTAGAGGGCTCCGGGAGGGGGGGCGGATGAACAAAAAATGGCCTGTTTTTTGTGAAAACTGGCCCGTTTTTTTGTCAAAAAAAGGACACGCATAGCCTTTAGGATGCTTATAGAGTGCTTAGAGGGTGGTGGAATTGAGCAAAATATGACCTGTTTTTCGCTCATTCCTACCCTCCCCAGGACCTAGGAGCCACCTAAGGCCATGCATGGCCATTTTGGTGAAGGGGTGAGGTTTCAGTGTACAAGACGCACCCAGATTTTCAGCCTCTTTTTTGAGGGAAAAAGGTGTGTCTTATAGTCCGAAAAATATGGTAATTACATTATCTGCCAAACACTCTCTGATCTTACAGACAGATCTTCAGGTGCCAGAGCTGGACCAGGCCTGGCCGTTACAGCTCTCCACTTGTCTTCTCAGCCAAACTTTTCTCCCTTGGGCTTTTGATCCATGGTACTGTTGCATCTTGAACCAAGAACCTCCACAAGGAGAACAGCAACTTGTGTTTCAGTCCAGGCTCTTACAATTGTAAAGAGGTTTCAACCCCTCCCATTAGGATCAAGGGCCCAAGAGAAGCAATGGCAAGATTTATTTACGTATGACACTTGCCTGATTCTCTTTCATCCCTCCAAAGTTACTTTCCCAGCTCTCTATAGGCTGCCTGCTTTAGAATCAGTTTTATGTAAGCCAAGAAGAAGCACCAGTGCACTCATCCTGGATGAGCAATAAATGATTGCAAATCTATATATTGTTTAATATCCTGCCCAGAACAGATCAGTATCAGCTGTTACAGAACGTTCTATCTTCTAAGTGTTATACTAGCAGATAATCCACAAAAAAAACCCAAGAGATCATTCCCTCTAGAGCAGGGGTCTCCAACTTTGGCAACTTTAAGACTTGTGGACTTCAACTCCCAGAATTCAACTCTGAGAGTTGAAGTCCAGAAGTCTTAAAAGCTACCGAGATTAGAAACCCCTGCTCTAGAATGAAGAGGAGGATCCATGTTCAGCAAGTTTTCTCTTCCAATGAAAATTAGTTTAAAATCAGGAATCGTTCAATGTACTACCCAAAACGGAGTGAAATTTTAAAAGATTCCAGTTTCCCCCAGTCATATATTTTTCAAGAATGAAAACAATTCAATTTTCTTTGATATATTTTCCAAAAGAACAAAAATAGCATGTTATGGTTAAATTTTGAAGTTTAATTTATACTATATTATACTGCATTGTATTGGTCTTATTTTGCTCTATATTGGGTTTTTCATGTATTAGCTTCCCAGAGTATTGTTAGGCTGAAATGGATTATCTTATAAATTGCACATATAAACAGTACAATTATTACATTAATAAGAAAAAATCAGATCACTTAAGGTGCAGCCCAGTGGTGGGTTTCAAAAATTGTTCGAACCTACTCTGTGGGTGTGGCCTCCTTTGTGGGAGTGGCTTGCTGCCCATGTGACCGGATGAGAGTGG